CTCTCCCCAGGCTTTCTCCCGCCTCATCTTGATTCTGCGTGCCCTGCATGTGAACAATGACCGGGCAAAGGTGATCTTGAAGCCAGACAAGACTACTATTACAGAACCACACCACATCTGGCCCACTCTGACTGATGAGGAATGGATTAAGGTGGAGGTGCAGCTCAAGGATCTTATCTTGGCCGACTACGGCAAGAAAAACAAGTGAGCAGTGGTGGTGGGGAGACAGATGGAAGATCTAAAAGGGGGAAAATAAGTGGCTCCAGTATATGGTTTCTGGGTTTTTTGAAACATTTAGGCTCAGACGTTTCTCAAGAAATTGTCCTGGGAGATGCCTATAGAGGAAAGACAGGCAGTGTCTTTAAATAGTGAAGGAAGTGTGTGTATTTAGGGGCTTCACTCTGTCTCTTGGGCATTGTTTCTCAGCAGAGGCACTAATGCTACTTTGAGTGGCGTATTTCGTTATTGTCTATGCACTACAAGAAGTTGTAACATCCCAGACCCTGAGGTACCACTGCTAATAGTGCACATACCTTTCTGTCCTCTTCTTCACTGTTGTGGGAACCAAAAGTGTCGTAGATTTCCAAGTATTCCCTAGGTTGACTGGCAGTGAGAACATGTTTCAGGGTTTCTGTTTTTGAGATTTGTCCTGTGCTGGGGCACTTTTTATAGAAGAAAAGTGGGAAGTATGGATGCTGAACAGGTTCGAGCATGGCTGAAAAGTGCACGTTCACAGGGCCATCCTGGGATGTGGCAAATCTTAGTACATCTCCATTTCACACTTCCTTTATAAGTGTCACTTGAGGATTATCTGGGTAACATGGGCTCCCCTGTACCACCAAGTTACATTCTTGCCATTGAGGCATGTGACAAAGGGGAAGGGTTCCTTGTGGTGTAACTTACACTGTCCCCATAGTGTGAATGTGGCATCACTGACACAATCAGAAATTCGAGATATCATCCTGGGTATGGAGATCTCAGCACCCTCACAGCAGCGGCAGCAGATAGCTGAGATTGAGAAGCAGACCAAGGAACAGTCACAGCTGACTGCAACACAGACTCGTACTGTTAACAAGCACGGAGATGAGATTATCACCTCTACCACCAGCAACTATGAGACCCAGACTTTCTCATCTAAAACTGAATGGAGGGTCAGGTACTGGAAGGGGCAAGGGGTGGGGATGGAAGGGTCTGCTGGTGCTACCTGAGGTGCTTGGGGTAAGAAATGCTGACATCCCTACCTGTTTTTAGGGCCATCTCTGCTGCTAACCTGCACCTAAGGACCAATCACATCTATGTTTCATCTGATGACATCAAAGAGACTGGTTACACCTATATCCTTCCCAAGAATGTGCTTAAGAAGTTCATCTGCATATCTGACCTTCGGGCTCAAGTGAGTAAGTGTGCTCAGTTAGGCCACAGTGTTAGCCCAAACATGTATCTACAACTCACCTAAGGTTTCCTGGAACTTAAGGTTTCAGGATTCATGGATAAGTAAATACACAGGGATAGCCAAACCAGTAAGGAGGGTTTTGACCTCCAAACAGATAGCAAAATATTATAAGGTTATGGCAGTTAAGAGAATGGCATCTAGTCAGAAACAGATTCAGTGTATATAATAAATATGGTATATTAAGTCTAGGATTAAGGATGCCTTATGATATTGAAACAATCAGAAAAAGGACTCTAGATCCCTACCCATACCACTTACAAAAAGATAATCCAGGTGGAGTAAATAGCTGAATGTAAAATACTAAATAAACTGCAGAGTATTAGGAGAAAATATTTCTTACCTTAGTTTTGGGATAGCCTTCTAAGAAAGACCCCGCACAAACCACAATCAAAATTAATAACTTGTGTCTGACAAAGGGTACCACAAAAGATTACACTAAAAACGGAAAGGAAATATTTGCGTAACTGTAGATAAAATGGATTAGGATCTAGAATATGGAATTCTCAGAAGTTGATTTTTTTAAAAAGATAACTATAGAAGAATGAACAAAGAATATAAATGTTCAGAAAAGGAACTACTGGTGGCAAATATAATATGAAAAAATGTTCACCTTTACTAGTAATCAGGGAAATTCATATGTTATAGAACATCATTTATGGCCTCTGTTTGGTGAATTTGAAAAGATTGTTAATACAGTATGTTGTGTGGGTGAGTTTATAGGAACACAGGTCCTTTTAACTTTGTTGGTGGCAATGTAAAAATTTTTTGTTGTTGTTAATATATCTTTATTGATTTCAGAGAGAGGAAGGAAGAGAAATAGAAACATCAGTGATGAGAGAGTCATTGTTTGGCTGCTTCCTGCATGACCCCCACTGTAGATCAAGCCCACAACCTGGGCATGTGTCCTGACCGGGAATTGAACTGCGATCCCCTTGGTCATAGGTTGATGCATAGCCGCTGAGCCATGCTGGCTGGGTGGCAATGTAAAATTTAAAATACCACCTAGTGCTGGTTTTAAAGATTTTTTTTTTTTTTAATCTTCATCCACATATATTTCTCCATTACTTTTCAGAGAGTGGAAGAGGGGTTGAGGTAGGGAGAGAAAGAAACATCGATGTGAGAAAGACACATCAATTGGTTGCCTCCCGCGTGTACCCTGACTGAGGCCGGGATCGAACGTGCAACCAATGTACATGTCCTTGACCGGAATCAAACCTGGGACCCTTCAGTCCACAGGGCCAACGCTCTAACCACTGGCTAGGGCTTTAAAGATGTTTTCATAAGCTGTGTGCTCATTTGTTTATGGATACTATACTTAAATAATCAATTGAGGAGCATGTGAGCAGTACAGATTCCTGGACCCTATTCAAGAGATTCTGATGTGATAAGTCTGAGGTGAGGTCCATATTTAACGTGAACAAGCACCCCATGTGATTCTGATGTAGAATCTTCACATTTTGAGAAGCTGTTGTCCTTGTTCTTGAGGAAGAGAAGGAAGCACAGAGCTAACAGCCCAGAGCCTAGGCTTGTACTAAGAATCATTTTGGTTCTTGACCCCCTTGTCTCCAGATTGCAGGATACCTATATGGAGTGAGCCCACCGGATAACCCCCAGGTGAAGGAAATCCGCTGCATCGTGATGGTGCCACAGTGGGGCACCCACCAGACCGTGCACCTGCCTAGCCAGCTGCCCCAGCATGAGTATCTCAAGGTCAGTAGGGGTGTGGACAAACGAGGGTTTTCTGCTGCTGGGGTGGGGGAGGGAAGGTGGACATGTTACTCATGGGTGGGATTCCCGTCTGCACATGGGGCTTTAAATAGTTCTTCACTGTTCTTTTCCTATAGGAGATGGAACCCTTAGGTTGGATCCACACTCAGCCCAATGAGTCCCCCCAGCTGTCGCCCCAGGATGTCACCACCCATGCCAAGATCATGGCTGACAACCCATCTTGGGATGGCGAGAAAACCATCATCATCACCTGCAGGTGGGCTTGAGTCCCTTTGGGAGGGAGTATGGCAGGGCCAGCCGTGCAGGGCAGGGCGCAGAGTGGTGGCCTGAGCTCTGACCTGGTCCTCGTCCCTCTCAGCTTCACACCAGGCTCCTGCACGCTGACAGCCTACAAGCTGACCCCCAGTGGCTATGAATGGGGCCGCCAGAACACAGACAAGGGCAACAACCCCAAGGGCTACCTGCCTTCCCACTATGAGAGGGTCCAGATGCTGCTGTCGGACCGCTTCCTTGGCTTCTTTATGGTCCCCGCCCAGTCCTCATGGAACTACAACTTTATGGGTAAGTGGGGAAGCACAGGGATGGGGTTAGTCCATCATCCTTAGTGCTTGGGGCCTGACTGGTTTAGAGATGCCATGGGCCTTGTTAACATTGGATGTTTTCATCTACCCCAAGGTGTACGGCATGATCCCAACATGAAATATGAACTGCAGCTGGCAAACCCCAAAGAGTTCTACCATGAGGTGCACAGGCCCTCCCACTTCCTCAACTTCGCCCTCCTGCAAGAGGGAGAGGTCTACTCTGCGGACCGAGAGGACCTCTACGCCTAACTGTTTCCTCACCCCCTCCTGCTTCAGACTCTTCAAAGGCTGGAGCCTTTTACCCCCGAAGACGAGCTGGTGACATTCAGCAGCTTGGCCCCTTTTTCCTCTAGTTTGTGCTTGTTGTGTTGTTGACTGTCTGGTGGCTTGTAATCCTGAACAGAGTATAATAATAAATTTTGTATAAATTGGAGTTTTTGAGTTTTTTCCCCCCTGAGCTCAAATTCTGGGTGTAGGATTGGCAGGAAGCTGGACTTTTGGGCTCTGCCTTGAGGGGCAAGGAGGACCCCTATTCAGGGGCTATGGGGCTAAGTACCCCTAGACTCAGGGAACTGAGATGGGGGTTGGGCTTTCATACTTCTACCACCTTGACTACATTTGCCAATTTTCCTCCAAAATACTTGCAAATCATCACTTCTTTTCAACATCCCTTGGAGCGGTTGCTGCCATTTCCTGAGTCTAGAAGCTTATGCTTGTTCTCTGCAGCTGTGGTGCCAGCCTAGCCCTGTAAGCTTTATGTCGCTCCTGGTCAGGGAAACAGGCACATGCCTGGACAATTAGTTGTCTCTGGCTGAGGCCAGTGACAGCCCTCCTACTTCTCACCTCTTGCCCTCTGTTTGGCAGCCAAGTGTGGCCTCATGACTCCAGACATAGGGGTGGAGCCTGGATTGGGCACTGGGGAGGGCTTGACCAAAGTGACCACTTAGAGCCCTGAGCCTGAGCTCTTGGACACGTTGCTGGAGGTTGGCTGTCCTGCTTCCTGTGACCTTGGGGACTTGAACAGGACAGGGCCCAGGCTGCCCAGAGCACCGTCTCCTTCCCCCACGCTGTTTTCCTTAATTTTCCTTATCTGTTTTCCTTAATCGCTCCTCCCCTCTCGCTTCTACCCCACCCTCTACTGCCCTAAACCGCTTCGTGGGCGGAAACTGTTTGACTATTTCCTGCCCCAGTTAGGGTTGGGGGGCGGTGACTGTCGCAGCCCTTGGCCTTCAGGGGATATGGAACCCACGAGGGCGGCGCCTGGGGAGCATGGCTGGGCACCTCGAGTGGCTCCGGGGGTGGAGACGGCCGCAGAGCTCGTGTACCATCTAGCGGGGGCCCTGGGCACTGAGCTGAAGGAGCTGGCACGCCGCTTTGGGCCGGAGGCGGCGGCGGGGCTCGTGCCTCTTGTGGTGCGGGCGCTGGAGCTCCTGGAAAAGGCTGCGGTGGGGCCCGCCCCCGACTCGGTGAGTCACTGCCCCTCCCTTTGCCACCGCGAGGGGTCGGCGGGGGCCTAACCCTGAGCCCCGACTCCCCAGCTGCAGGTGTCGGCGCAGCAGGCTGAACTGGAGCTGCAGCGGCTGCGGGCAGAGAATGAGAACCTCCGCAGAGAGCTGCGCTGCGGGCCGCAGGGTGAGTGCGGGCCAGGCCGGGGGTGGGGGTGTTGGAGTCGGGCGGGCTCAGGGACTACCTCCTACGGGCCGCCACTAAAATCATCCCTTCCTCAGAGGAGCGCACTCTGCTGCGGCAGCTCAAGGAGGTGACCGACCGACAGCGGGACGAGCTCCGAGCACACAACCGCGACCTGCTGCAGCGCAGCCAGGAGACTGAGGCGGTGAGGGCGCGGAGAGGCAACGACGTGGGGCGGGGCTCTCTCGGCGTCCCACCCACCTGCCCTACTGTTTGCTCCGCCCCCAGTTGCAGGAGCAGCTGCAGCGCCTCCTGCTGGTGAATGCGGAGTTACGGCACAAGCTGGCCGCGGTGCAAACCCAGCTGCGAGCAGCACGGGACCGCGAGAGCAAGTGGGAGCTGGGGCATGAAGGGGCCATGGAGCTGGCTCAGGAGCGGGCACGGAACCAGGCCGAGGGTCCTGGGTGCGAGCAGAGGCAGGAGCCCGAGCGGGCGACCACCGGAGCAGGAGTCCCAAGGACCCCTGAGGACCCCGTGAGTGCCCGCTGAGGTTAAGGACCTTTCCCAGTACACACCAATGTCTGGCACTGGGGGAGCACTTGGGGAAGGTTTGCAGTGCTGAGTAGCAGGTCCAGTGGGAAGTTGGAAGGTGGCACACAAATGCCTCCCCCCAGCCGGCCTCTGTCCCACTTATCTAGAGCACTGGTCTGTCATGTTGTTGCACCGCACTGCCTCCCAAGTCTCCCTGCCAGTCACTCCCTCTAGCATTCCTGTGCCCACCCAGAGGCAGAGGAGTGCCAACCAAGGCACCCTCTGACCAAACCTGCCCCCCACAGCATCCCTCCGATGTGGGGCAGTGCGGCTTCAGTCGAGAGGAGCTTCAGCAGATCCTTCAGGAGCGGAATGAGCTCAAAGCCAACGTGTTCCTGCTAAAGGAGGAGTTGGCCTACTTCCAGCGGTGAGGGCGCTGGGCAGGAGCTGGGAAGCTGAAGGGCTCCAGTCACACCTGTTCCTAGGCCTCAGGTCACCTGCGTCAGTCTCTAGCACATAAACAATGATGTGTGCCAGGCACTGTGCTGGGCACAGGGAGGACATGAATCACACAGTCCCTGTCCTCCTGGAACTTCATGCAAATGAGGGAGGGGGCAGTACAAAGGCTCACAGCAGCCACAGCAGCAGTCAAGGAAGTATTCCTAGGAGGGGTGACACCTAAGCTAAGGTTCCAAGGGTGTTGGTAAGGCAGAGTGTTTCAAAAAAGGGTACTTTGGTGTGAGACTTACTGTTGGCATCCCCATCACTTTTCCCCTTCCTTTTCCCCTCCTTTGTAGGGAGCTGCTCGCAGACCACAGGGTACCTGGGCTTTTGCTGGAAGCCATGAAGGTGGCTGTCAGGAAGCAGCGGAAGAAGATCAAGGCCAAGATGTTAGGGACCCCAGAGGAAGCAGAGAGCAGGCAAGTCCCTGCCTACACTCTCACTGAGCCAGCCCTCCCTCCCTTGTTCTGCTGAGCCTCACGACCCAGCCTGGTCATGCTCTAACCCAGCTGTAGCCACCTCCTAAGTGTGCTGACCTACTCTGGTCACTCCATTTAGCTTGCTGGCTCAGCCTGGTCAACTTTTTTGTTGTTTGTTAATCCTCACCTGAGATATTTTTGTCCATTGATTTTTAGAGAGTGGAAAGAAGGGAGGGAGGGGGAGAGGGAGAGCGAGAAACATCGATGTGAGAAAGATACATCAATCAGTTGCCTTCCACACACTCCCAGACCTGGACAGGAGGGGGGGGTGTGTGTGTGTGTGTGTGTGTGTGTGTGTGTGTGTGTGCGCACACAGGGGATGAAACCTGAAACCCAGGTTTGATACCTTGACCAGGAGTCAAACCTGCGACTCTAACCACTGAGAAACACTGGCCAAGGCCTGGTCATCTTTTGAGTCTTTTGTCTCAGACTGAACCTCTTACCCCAGCCTAGTCACCCCTTAAACCTACCACTCTAGTCTAATAACTCTTGGATCTGCTAACCTGGCCTGGTTATCCCCTAAGCCTATTTTACAGCCTGCCCAGCAGAGTCTGCCACTCTGGCCTGGTCACCCCCTGAGCCTACTATCTGGCCTGCTCTGCCGAACTTGCCGTTCTGCCTTGGTCACCCCTTGAATCTGCTGATCTTGTGTGGTCACCCCCTGAGCCTGCTGTCCTAAGCCTGCCACCCTTCTCTCTGGATCACTGCTCCCACTTGCCATGCTCCCTGTGCATCCTGCTGAAGAATCCTGCTAATGCTCTTTCTCCACATTCATTCTATGGTTCCCTGCCCTGGCTGTATCTGTTTGCTCTCAGAGGGGTAAGACTGGAGCTGTAGAGACCTCCATAGAAAGCCAAAAGGTCTGGGTTCAAAGAGCTTCTGGGCTGGTGAGCACGTGGAGATGTGGGACTCATGGCGGGTCCGAAGAGGGCATGGGAACCCTGCGCCCTTTCCCCATGCCTTGCCCTATGCTTTTCTTCCATCTGGTTATTCCTGAGTTATATCCTTTTACAATACATCGGTCATCTAGTAAGCAAAAAGTCCAAAAAACAAAAAGACTGTAGCTGTAGCCTTGTCAGGGGCCTGGTATCCATCGGGCTATAAAGTGAAAGTCTCAAGATGTCCTTCATCTCCCCAGTGTCTCCTCTCCAGCCTTAAGGGTCCTGCTGTTGCTCTGTCCTCCCCTGCCTGCTTCTGGGGGCTGCACAGAAGGCTGACCATAGCTGCATTCCCATTGTCCCTCATGGCCTTGATAAATGACACCTCTTTCCTCTCTCTTCTGCCTCAGTGACGATGAGGATGGCTCATGGCTCCTGCTCTCCAGTGATAAGGGAGACTACCCTACACCCCCTGAGTCCAGAATACAGAGTTTGTATGTTGTGGGGAGAGGAAGGGCAAAACAGGTGGGGGTGAAGGGGCCCCACCTTGATTCTTCTCAGCATCCCTGCTCCTACTCCCCTGACACTCACCCTGCTACCCTGAGCTCTAAGTGTGCCCCGCCCCTCCTGCTTCTCTGACCCTGGCCCTTTCGCCTCCCCACTACCTCATGCTGCCCTTTCTTCCTAATATTATCCCCTTTTCCCACCACCCCCTGTCTTCAGCCCATATCCTTGATCTCTCTAGCATCCAGGCTCAAAGTACCTCTTGGATCTCCCCCCAGCTTTGGCCTGTGTTACCGGGATGAAGCAGAGGCCCCCGAAGCCAAGACCAGCAGCACGGCTCCCAACAAGCTAGGGGGAGAAGAAAAGGCCCCAGAGCAATCCCACAGCAGCTCCTGACCTGCCCTGCTTTGCTCTCAATGAACATCTTTGTCTGGGGGTCTCAGGTGCCCTGAAGTCTGACTGTGGGAGGACGTGTGACCTCAAATGAGGACAGGGCTCCCTCCTTCTCAGCCCTCCCAGGCTCTTTCCCAATCTTGGCCTGAGCCTGGGCATGACAGGAAGTTCAACCTACCTTCCTTCCCTATATGTCTGAGCTAAGCCTCCGGGGTCAGATACAAGTGCTTCCTCTCTGAGTCTCAGTTTTCCCATCCATGAAATGGAGAACTGACTATCTACCTCCTAGAGATTTGTGCAGATTGCCTAAGCTAATGTAATAAAGTAACTGCCCATGACGCAGAAACTGTTCCACGTCTGTCTGTCAGTGGTCTGCCCCTCTTCTCGCCCTGCTCTGCCCTGCTCGGTCAGGGAGGCAGGCTGAGGTTGCCTCAGTGTTTCCTTGGTCATCACTGGGTGGGGAGGCTTCTCCCAGCTTGGGCATCACTGGGAAGTATGACCTAATGGAAAAGTGTGGCTCCCCTCTCACCCCACCCCCTCGACTGTTCCCAATACCTCCGGGACTTACAGCTTCATTTTCCTGTCCCCTCCAGACTGAAACCAGCCCCTTAAGCTCCTACTCAGCACTCGTGTTTGGCCCCTGTTTCCCTTTCATTTCTCTGGTATCACCGTCTTCCCAGCACTGGCCTGCCCACCCTCTCAGGGAGGTGCCTCATGGCAGCCCGCCCCTCCGGCCTGGTTTCCTCAGGAAAAGCCTTGGGAGGAAATGGAGGGGGTTGGGAGCTGTGAGGGCCAGGCTAACTCAAACCCTCTCACTGCACTGGCCGCCATGGTGCTGAGGCTGCTGCTCCCACTGCTACTGCTCTGGACTCAGAGGACCCAGGGATCTGAGCTGGACCCTAATGGGCAGCATGTCTGCATGGCCAACAGGTGGATCTTGTGGGAGTTTGGGGGGGGAGTGTGTGTGTGGCTGAACTGGTACTGATGTATGGGGCGGAGGGGGGGGGACGGTGAGGGAAGAGATCATGATGCTGAAGGGAGGGAGGCTTGGGGACAGCCTGAAGGGTGGTGGATAGTCAGGACAGATGGTGGGAAGGCTGGGGAAGAAGAGCGAAGGGGTTGGGATCAGTGGGGCTGTGACTCTTGGCCAGGCCTCCCATATCTCAGCCAGAAACAGTGATCCACTTTTGAAACCAGTCTGCCCCCCGGCTGATCCCTCTCTGCCCCACAGCCCCTCTACTGAGCTCCAGTGCTGCCCAGGCTGGAGGCAGAAAGATCAAGAATGCACCATTCGTGAGTAGCCAAGACCAACCCCCACCCCAGAGAAGGGAGGGCATAGCCCAGTGACCTTCCTACCCTCCTGGGGGGCCTATTTCCCCTCCTGAGCCCCGGTGCTAGGGTCCATCCTGTGACACAGCCCTGAGGGAGCAGCTCTGAGGGGGCAGGGGACCAGGAGCCAGTGAGTAAGCATAGTGTCCCCTGGTCAAGCCCCAGTCCTTCTGACCTGGGTGGGTGTTTTTCAGCCATTTGTGAGGGGCCCGATGCCTGCCGGGAAGATGAAGTATGCGTGAAACCAGGCTTCTGTCGATGCAAACCTGGATTCTTCGGGGCCCAATGCAACTCCCGTGAGTCCTGAGTCTTGCCTGGGGGATGAAGTTGCTGGGCAGAACTAAGAGAGCAGGGAGGCAAAGCAGGTAGGACTGTCATCGTAGAACAGGAGGGCCAGAACCTCTCCAATCCTCACGGAGGAAATTGAGGCCCAGACACAGGAAGTGACACTCCTGGCAGATGCCCTGAGTCATTTGGTTTTTGCCCCTATCCACAAAACCCTACACACAGTTTCAGTTCTGCGCCCTTAACCTTCCTTTTCAACTCAGAATAGATGCTGGCGATTCCTATTAATTGCAAAATGGATGCATTCTCAGTCTCCCCCACTTACACCTATACAGCATATGTGTAGAGGTTAGCAGGAGGGCCCTGGCCAAGCTGTCTGCCCTCTCTGGCAGAAAAGAAGGGCATGGGAAAAGGGTTGGTGGGCAGGATGGCCAGAGGGCAGCCATCAGGAATCAAGGTTGAGAGGAGACGCGGAGAAAACGCGGCTTCCCCTGTGACCCTGATGGGCAGCACCCAGGCCTGCTAGGCCCAGCTCATCTCCAGCCCGGTGGAGAAACCCAAAGGAGGAGGGGGCATGATTGAACCCCCCCCCCCC